GCTGGGAGAACTCATTTTTTCTTATAAAGTTAATTTGAAATTTAAATATTTTAACATGGAAAGTCAATGGGAGCGTCTTTGTTGCTTAATAACTTTTTACGTTGCAAATGTATCAAAGTGAAAAGTTAATAAAATATACAACTTTCGATGCTCTTTCCAACAATGTATAGAACGTCACTGCACGATGTGCCGTTTTTAAGAAAAGCTGTAAAAAAGCAAAACTCGACTGTGACTTGAACCCAACCACATTAGAGTATACGAACAGGTGACGGTGATACCTCCCGTGTGCGGATGCGACACTGATTATTGCTAAATATGAGCAGTCGGCCGCCGTGGGGGCGCCTTTACAAACCTTATATCTCTGCAACCACAGGACCGATTCACTCGCGGTCTTTTGTGTGGGATAGTTTCTTTCTTTCCCAAACGTAGTGTGCTACTCTCGATGCGTATGGGTGACCCCTAATACACGTGCCACGTGCAAAACGAAGAGGTGTCAGATCGGTAGCAAGTGTAATAACTCTGTAGTTATTTTGCCGATTGCGCTGATCCTTGGCATGGATGTAGGCACCCGCCCCCCAATGCCTTTCCATGTGTCACGGTTGGGGTGCCGCTGCACGTGCGCACGGGCAGGGTGACGCTTCCAGATCTCGAGAACGGCTGGGCCGATTGTGATCAAAGTTGGCACACCGTTAGGGCTCGGCGAGTAGGGTGCCGTGCACAAGTCAGATGGGACCCAGTTTGCACGTGCGCACGTGCAGGCTGACGCTTCCATATCTCAAGAACGGCTGGACCGACTGTGCTCAAATTTGGCATACCACTAGAGACTGGTTAGTAGGGTGCCGTGCACAAGTCAGTAAGTATGTATTTTCATGTGCCGTGGTTGGGGTGCAGCTGCACGTGTTAGAATTGTGTTTTTCTATTGAAAAACAACCGGAGCGGTCGTTCTCCGGGCTATGTTTTGCAAGTCTGGCCGCGAATCGAGACATCTTGAGCGGGGCCTAGACGAAATGTACAATCTTCGTAAAAAGTTCAGTGTATGGGCTCCCGGAGGCGATCTACCTGATGGCACCGGTCGCTACTCGCTAAAAAGTCTTTTGCGCGTGGCACGTGCGATTCCATTTTCCCCATGTTAAGTAAACGGGGTTTTGGACACTTTTTGCGCGATCGCCAATGGCGGGAAAACGAGCCAAGGAAGAGGTGGTTTTCTTCCCAGCATTTTATGGCAAACACGTTTGGGTACACGCCAGTGTGCGCTGTATACCCCTCAGAATCTCGGAACGTGTCTTTGCACGAGGTCAAAGTTGGAATTTTGCTGTGTCCCATGTTAAGTCAATGGACGGCGATGTCGAGACTTTGCAGAGACATTTTCATTCGATCTTTGTACAAAATTTTAGAGATAGATTTCGCCCAAACTCTTATATCTTGTAGAGGAAAAAGCATAGTACATGCCGTTATGCTTCCTTAAGCTGGCAAAACTCATTTTTTCTTATAAAGTTCATTTGAAAATTAAAATTTTTAACATGGAAAGTCAATGGGAGCGTCTTTATTTCTCTATAACTTTTATCTTTAGTAAGATATGTAGGTGAAAAGTTAATATAATATACAACTTTCGATGCTCTTTCCAACGATGTATAGTACGTCACTGCACGGTGTGCCGTTTTCAAGAAAAGTTGTAAAAAAGCAGGGCTCGACTGTGACTTGAACCCAACCACATTAGAGTATACGAACAGGTGAAGGGGATACCTCCCATGTGCGGACGCGACACTGATTATTGCTAATTATTGGTAGACGGCCGCCGTGGGGCGCCCTTGCAAAGCTTATATCTCCACAACTGCTTGACCGATTCACTCGCCGTCTTTTGTGTGGGATAGCCTCTTCCATTCTTACACGTAGTGTGCTATTCTCGATGCGTATGGGTGACCCCTAATGCACGTGCCACGTGCAAAACGAAGAGGTGTCAGTTCGGTAACAAGTCTAATAACTCTGTAGTTAGTTTGCCGATTGCGCTGATACTTGGCATGGATGTAGGCAGCCGCCGGGCAGCGCATTTCCATGTGTCACGTTTGGGGTGCAGCTGCACGTGCGCACGGGCAGGGTGACGCTTCCAGATCTCGAGAACGGCCGGGCCGATTGTGATCAAAGTTGGCACACCGCTAGGGATCGGCGAGTAGGGTGCCGTGCACAAGTCAGATGGGACCCAGTTTGCACGTGCGCACGTGCAGGCTGACGCTTCCATATCTCGAGAACGGCCGGGCCGACTATGCTCAAATTTGGCATACCGCTAGAGACTGGTTAGTAGAGTACCGTGCACAAGTCAGTTAGTATGTATTTCCATGTGCCACGGTTGGGATGCAGCTGCACGTGCGCACGGACAGGGGTGACGCTTCCAGATCTCGAGAATGGCTGGGCCGATTGTGCTCAGATTTGGCACACCGCTAGAGACCGGCGAATGGAGTGCCGTGCACAAGTCAATTGGGACCCAGGTTGCACGTGCGCACGTGCAGGGTGTCGCTTCCAGATCTCGAAAACGGCCGGGTCGATTGCACTCAAATTTAGCGCACCGCTAGAGACCAGCTAGTAGAGTGCAGTGCACGTCAGTTGGTAGCACACCCGCTCCGGTCTGCACGTGCAAGGCTCATCCTCTCGTTTGGCGGCGGGCGTTTTTGCGGCGTTACAGAGGTGCTTGCTCAAACAACCTGCGGTCCCGCGATGCGGAGCCCAGCATCGCAGATGCTGGTAACCGCAGGTTGTTTGAAAAGACAAACACTATTCGTTAGAATTGTGTTTTTCTATTGAAAAACAACCGGAGCGGTCGTTGTACGGGCTATGTTTTGCAAGTCTGGCCGCGAATTGGGGCAACTTGGGTGGGGCCTAGACGAAATGTACAATCTTCGTAAAAAGTTCAGTGTATGGGCTCCCGGAGGCGATCTACCTTATGGCACCGGTCGCTTCTCGCTTAAAACCTCGTGGCACGTGGCACGTGCGATTCCATTTTCCCCATGTTAAGTCAATGGGGTTTTGGACACTTTTTGCGCGATCGGGAATGGCGGAAAAACGAGCCAAGAAGGAGGTGGTTTTCTTCCCAGCATTTTATGGCAAACACGTTTGGGTACACGCCAGTGTGCGCTGTATACCCCTCAGAATCTCCGAACGTGTCTTTGCACGAGGTCAAAGTTGGAATTTTGCTGTGTCCCATGTTAAGTCAATGGACGGCGATGTCGAGACTTTGCAGAGACATTTTCATTCGATCTTTGTACAAAATTTTAGAGATAGATTTCGCCCAAACTCTTATATCTTGTAGAGGAAAGAGCATAGTACTTGCTGGTATGCTTCGTTAAGGTGGCAAAACTCATTTTTTCTTTTAAAGTTAATTTGAAATTTAAAATTTTTAACATGGAAAGTCAATGGGAGCGTCTTTATTCCTCTATAACTTTTATCTTTAGTAAGATATATAGGTGAAAAGTTAATATAATATACAACTTTTGATGCTCTTTCGCCTTTACAAACCTTATATCTCTGCAACCACTGGACCGATTCACTCGCGGTCTTTTGTGTGGGATAGCTTCTTCCTTTCTTACACGTGGTGTGCTATTGTAGATGCGTATGGGTGACCACTATTGCACGTGCCACGTGCAAAACGAAGAGGTGTCCGTTCGGTAACAAGTCTAATAACTCTGTAGTTAGTTTGCCGATTGCACTAAAACTTGGCATGGATGTTGGCACGCACCCGGCAATGCATTTCCATGTGTCACGGTTCGGGTGCTATTGCACGTGCACACGTGCAGGGTGACGCTTCCAGATCTCGAGAACGGCTGGGCCGATTGTGCTCAAAGTTGGCACACCGTTAGGGATCGGCGAGTAGGGTGCCGTGCACAAGTCAGGTGGGACCCATTTTGCACGTGCGCACGTGCATGGTGACGCTTCCAGATCTCGAGAACGGCCGGGCCGATTATGCTTAGATTTGGCACACCGCTAGAGACCGCTTAGTAGGGTGCGTTGCGCAGGTCAGCTGGACCCCAGTTTGCACGTGCGCACGTGCAGGTTGACGCTTTCAGATCTCAGGAACGACTGAGCCGGTTGCACTGAAGTTCGGCACATTTCTAGAGCCCGATCAGTAAGGCACCGTGCACAAGTCAGTTAGTATGTATTTTTATGTGTCACGGTAGGGTTGCAACTGCACGTGCGCACGTGTAGGGGTCGCTTCCAGATCTTGAAAACGGCTGGGCCGGTTGAGCTCAAATTTGGCACACCGCTAGAGACCGGTTAGTAGAGTGCAGTGCACGTCAGATCGTAGCACACCCACTCCGGTCTGCACGTGCAATGCTCGTTCTCTCGTTTGGCGGCGGGCGTTTTTGCTGCGTATCTGAGACCCTACAGCAGGGTCGGCAAATGGTGGGACATGCCCCCTTTGGGGGTAATGGAGCCCTTTCGAAGGGGGTAATGGGGGCCTCTGAAAAAACCAGATCTTCTTAGAATAAACGTCTCTCTTTATGGCATAGACATCACGACATTTGCGCCCCAGGGTTCAAGCCTAACCAGGCCTAATCAGACGTGCCAAAACAGGCCTAGGAGAGACCCCTAAAAGCTAAGCTTGTGGTTTCTTTCTCTATCTTTGCTCCCGTTTAGAAAAGGCTGCCTGAGATCAATCAAGCAAGGTTAGGTATGTGTTGTACCTACAGCTGCTGGATGATGCTCCACTCCTCAGAAGCTATCAGTTGACAGAGGGCTAGGTTGTGCCGTTTATCATACAACTAAGCTTGTTGATTGGTTGTGTTGACTTGGTTGTGTAAGCAATGGGGTCTGGTAGGTGGGGGTAATAGCCCTGTCTGGTGCCCAAAAAGGGGGCGCGACCCCGGAGGACCTGCCGACCACTGCCCTACAGCATCGACAGCAGCAAGACAATATCGCCCACCATCACATCCATCGAGGATTAAGAAAATCCCTTGAAAGTCCGTCACACCAGGTCACAGCTAGGTTATGCGAGGTGGGGTTAGGATTACCTTCTACCGGCGGAGCCAGCTGGGCGGCCGGCGGCGGACGCTGCGGCGGGGGCGGGGGCGGGGGCGGCTGCTCGGCGGCAGCCGCCCTAGCGGCGATCGCCCGCAGCTCTTCATCGCTGGAGGATTGCTCGTCCAAACCGCAGTCGGCCATTAGTTCGCCCGCCGGCCACTGGCGGCGCCACTTTACGGGGTCGGTGCGAGCGGTCCCAGTCCGGAGCTGTGTCAGCTCTGCTCACCCGGGCCGTGGTCAGAGGACACCGACAGATACCGGCAGGTCACGGAGGAGGCACAGCGGCGCAGAGTTAGCCGGCAGACACTCACGTCACCAGACGGGTGGAAATACCCGATGGCTAGCAGTCCTATCAAAGGTCAGGGTCAGCGAAGAGCCATATTGGAAATAACCGACTAATAACCGAGGTGCTGAAAGACAAAGAAAAGAGAAGACGGGAATCCTAGAGATAAATGCTGAACAAATAATGGGAACCTAATGTCTCAAACCCAAACATCAGAAACTAGCGACAAGAAAGGAGATCATTCGAGGAATCGAGAAGTTCTGACGGGCCTCGGCGACGTAAAGGTGAACCGAATAAGCAAAACCAAATCCGGAAGCAAAAGAAGGTAACTACCAGAAGCTGACACGAGGCTCATGAGTCAAGCAAGTCTCACAAACTCAATGTTTTTACAACAAAACAAGAATCAATCAAAGACCTTGTAAGCCAAAGGATAGTCTCAGCATAACTGCCCATCAGCCTTCAAACGAGCACAACCGAAGATGACCGCAACGCTGACGCCACAACGCGCACCTCTCGTTCTGATCTCACCAATAAGATCACGATCACCGCTAACCTCAGTTCACTGCCGGTCACCGACAACACCTCAGGTCGCAGTCACCACCTCAGGTCCCCGCCGATTACCTCAGGTCACCACAGGTCACCCCGGGGAGCGCCGTCGCCGTCCCGGCGGACCGATTCACTGCGGCGCCCCGGTCGGAACTGGCGGCCGGCCCGGGGCCACTGCAGTCGCCCGGCGCTCCCAGACAGGCCGGGTCACACAGTGTGGGCGCCGGGCCGGCGCCACCGGCCCCTCCCCGGTCTGGGGCGCCCCGCTGCCCCCCACGGGCGGCAGAGACACAGCGGGCCTCCCGCGGCACCGACAAGCAGCAGGCAGTATCACCGGACCTGGGGCACTACCGCATCCTCACGGCTCACAGGGCCAGACACGGGCTCGTCACCAGATCTGTCTCCAAGTGTCGCTGATGGAGGGGCAGCGGCCAAGGTCAGTCGAGACGACGCGCCGGGGGCCGGGGGCCGCCGACGGCCGGCGCCAGTCCCGACTCGGCCGGATGGATCACTGCCCCCCCCCCCCCCGGGAGGGGGAGGCACACTGAGCTGTCCCCGCCGGCCCGAGACGTCCCACCGGTCGGCAACGGGTCCATTTCACCGCTCTGATCGACCACACACAGTCGCCGATGACAACCACTTATAGCCGGTGATTTTAATCTGGGCACGATATGGTCGCTGGTGACTTGAGATGTCAGAAAACAATCCAAATGAATGGCGGATAATGCTGGTGGGGACAAAATGTGTCGTGCAAAGACGTCCGTGGCGGTACTTTCAAAGGAACCTAACAGCAGTATTTTGTCCGGGAGTCTCGGAGTATGGAACAATCACGTGCACAAACTACCTGATTGTTTCATACTGTTCCATATGTGCTCCACTATCCCTTGCTCGTATTGATGTTTTGCTAGCCGCTCGCTACCCTATAGAAGGGAGGGGGCGTTAAATCTCCTTGCCGTTCAGCCCCTGATCAAGCAAGAGCTTCGCGAAAAAAACGAGCGTTTTGCGCGTAGCAACAGGAAGTCCATGATACCTAATTTTAAGGTCCTAGGCCATTGGTTGACCTTCCAAGCCAAGGCAATGAGTAATGACCCAAAACTCGGGAAAATCGAGACCTGTTAGAACTTCTTGAAGTGAGGTTGTTTTAGTAAATGAGTGAAGTGCTTTTCCATGTTGGGTTTCAGGGTTGAGTCAAAGCTCAAAATCAGTCACATGTTAATAATTTCCATTCTTTTCAAATTTGCAATGAAAAGTAATCATCACCATATTGAATTGTTGGATGACACTCAGTCATAAAGAGAAACTTCAGTTTATTCCAAAGTGACCATGGTAAAGCTTCCCCTCCAGACCATTACCCTATTGTTATTAGGAGCCAACTGCTCTCACAGTCCACTACATTGAGCCTGGCCCAGCCTCCATGCAGTCCCCAGTGATAGGGTTGAATGGTAATCTTCCTGTATGGTACCTACCTCACTTGGTGTGAGGTGAGAGGTAGGTGTTAAGTGGGTGTAGGTGTTAGGTAGTTATAGGGTTAGGTAAAGGTTTATGTTAGGTTAGGTCATGCTAGGTTGGTATGTTTTGAGTTACAAGGTGCCACAAATATCAGATCCACACCAAATGGCCCATCAAATTGTTGAAGCCATATTGATATGTGATTGGAAAAACAATGAAAACTGACCTGAACCTACCTGACCTCACCTTACACCAACTAAACACCTCAATAACACCTAACACCTACAGGGCAAGAGATCCTTTCCTGGAAAATGAAACCCATAGAGTTTTTATCTGGAAGATTACTGGAACTCACAGAAATACTGGTTAAACTCTACACCCTAGCCTAGCAAAAATATAAAGACTGACAGTTATAACAGATGCAAATTAGTCTCTCCTTTCTTCCAAAAGCACATCTACATGTGGGGGCCATCCCAGCAGCTAACAACTCTTGAAAAGAAATATAGAAATAGTAAGCACTTACTTCCTCACCTCATTTAATTTAAAAACATGGATACATAGCCTGACAATAAAAAGGAACTTTCATTTTGTAACTATGGGGAAGGGTGAGGTGAGCCTTGACTTCATCAGCTGATGTCATGATGAATAAAATTGTCAGGCATATAAAGATGCTGCTGTTTACTGGGGTTCAACACAGGTGTGACATGCTACACTTTGCAGTCTAACATTGACTTCAAAGTTCAAATCTACCTACCTACTAAATGCCTGCCCAAAATGTAGCATGTTCTACATCCGATATCTCAATTCTGATTCGAGGAATCTGGTGCAGAGCCCGTAAGGCCACCCCACACTGGACCTTGCATGCAAGTTGCGAGTTTTTGGGGTTTCTGGTTTCTTCCAAATTAAAGAATACAGTAATAAGGTCGTTCTCCACGGTACATGTTTTGCGCGTTTTTAATGACGTTTTAACGCTTTTTTGATGTTTTGAGAGTTTTTCATGATCCGGCGTTGATCTGTACCATTAAATTACACGGTGCCATCTCCACGGCGGAAGATTTGTCAAAAATCGAAAAACGCGTGGCTTCATAAAATCAAAAAACTGCAAAACTCGTAAAACGCGTCAGGTTGTGTCATGCAAAACTCGTAAAACCTTTAAAAAACGCAAAACTCTCATTTGTAAAACGCGCGATTTTATCCAAACATTTGGATCGAATGAAAGTTTTCCGGTTTTTGACAAGGCTAAGAAGGTAATCCTTCTGCTATTAATACCATTTTACGGTGAAATGGATGCAATGGAAAGTGTGGAAAGCGATGAAACGCAATTTGATTAAGCCAATTATCATGGCAAGTACTCAGACAACCATACCAATAACTTCTGTTGCTATTCCGACGATGTGGATGTCAAATAATTACATAGTGAGTCTATGGATAACAGATATCACGATATCAGATCATTTCAGATAATTGATAAGTAACTGATGTCATAGCGGTGATAGCAATAGGGTAACGTGATGATACCCCTATAACTATCTTTACAGCGAAAATCGAGGGGTTAATAGAAGCCGTGCGCCAGATACCTGCCCTGTGGGACAAGAGGGCCACGGCATACAGCGCACGAAGGGCGGAGAAAGATGTTCTTTCTCTGAAATTGAAATTGTTCTGAAATTGTAATTGTTCTGAAAGACTGACACACTAAAACCGTAGAAAGCGAAAAACTCGCAAAACTCGCAAAAGCGTCTGTTAAAAAGCGAAAAAAGCGCAAAACTCTCGTTTGCTAAAACGCGTAAAAACCGAAAATGTTTACACGTGGAGACAGTACTATACACTATGTTGAATGATCCACAGGCCACACCACCATGAAACAAGCAAGTCTGCATGTTTTTAGCATGCGAGGCAACTTGCATCACACTCCAAAAGTTGATTTTGAGTCAACTTTCAATTTGCCTTGCTGCAAGCCTGCAAGGGCTGGGAGCTTTGGTATGTTTTGTTGAAGTCAAATTTTCGTTCATTATGCTGTTATTGCGATAATATGCAATTTTCTGAGGGTGTACAATAAATGAAATATCAATAAATGAATATTTTCAACAAGACAGAAAACATTAGGTAGGTACAAAAACAGAAATATTGCTAGCACTTACCAATCGTTGTCAATCTTTCAGATGTCAAGTTCAAGCTTGGCTATGTGATGACCCCTCTTGCAATTTGCGACGCCTGCTCACACCCAAAAACGTTCACTTATATTGCCCTTAATTGAAATACATAAAAATTGTGCTGCATATCCATCCACGCCAATCATCATCCAAAATCACACAAATGATTCATTGATTACATTTGTAAACTCAAGGCCGAATGGAAGATGTTTCTATTCTAAATTATTCCCTTCGGTGACTAAATCTTACATCATAAGTTTAGCCTTCAAAGAAGCTTCAAAGAAGCTTTTTTGGATTGCACCATTATCGAGATTTAAAACTGCTTCAAAAACTTTGTAGTTCAGATACGGAAATTCAAGATATTGTTACTTTAATTTTCTTCATAGCTCATAAACTTCCCTCAAAAATCAAAATAATTGTTTTATTTATGACGTCATTCTAGTGCCTTTTTAGCTTCTATTATTGCAGCCTTGACCTAGGTTGTCCTATTGTTCAAGGTTTGTCCTATTGTTAATTTTTGCTTCCCTGCGAAATAATAAATTGCGTCAGAGAAAACTCGCTTGCATGTGAATAAAACGCAACATCTTTTGCCATAGTGTGCTTTTACTTATTATTTAAATTATTAGACAAAACTAATTCGCGTTTACTAAGGCCAAACATCCAAAAAGCCATCATTGAAACAAAGCCGTAGGCAACACCGTAGAAACAGCAACAGCCAACGCAGGCTTGAAATGAACGGCATCTCAATTTTCCTCCACACGCAGTAGGCGGTTACAAGGGCGGTTACCTGAAGTCACATAAAAAGCTTAAAAGCATTGATGTTTAAAGTGTATTATGAACTGGCGGAAACTGTCCACTGCTTTCAAGCGGTTGCAAAACATTTGGCATACATATCAATGCGCGGCACATTCGCACTTCGAGATCTGCAAATGGCGAATTGAAAACGTGCATATAGTTGCATCATATTCACATTCAGATTCGCGTGCACATTCGCGGACCCCTTCGATTTGGCTGAAAATTGCACAGCAGATAGACCATGAGCTCCTAAGTGCAAAAATCATCTTTTTATTTACCGACATTAAGTATTTTCCAAGTTATTCACGTTTGTTTTACTAGTACAATATTCTGGTTAGTAAACTTCCCGGAAAAATCGGACCTCATCAAATTTCAAGAAAATTTCAGAAATGATTAAGACTCAGTAGTGCTTTACAAAAAACTAATTTGCATCAAACGCGGTCGCATAGTTTTCTCAGGAGAAGTCTCTAAAGTTCAAGGTCGTTCAAGGTCATGCAATTTTTCTCACTTTTTGGAGTCGTTTTACACGTGACAGCTTCGTATTTATGAAGGACATTAGCTATACATACTGCAATAACAATATACTTAAGCACCAGAGGCATTGTTAGACCAAAGGGCGAAAAACAGTCGATAAACCTATTGAGCAAAGCCAAGAGGCAAATACAAGTGATATTCAGATTTCTCGTCCTAAAGTGAACTTGCAGGACCCCTCCGATTTCGTTCAAAGTCACAGGAATGATGCTCCTTGACCTCCTGAATACGAAAAAAGTGCTCCTTTTGACCGACATCAAAGACTTTTCCAGATATACGCATGCGTGC